AAAGATTGACCTCCATAATACTTGCAATGATCAAAACAAAAGCTATCGGCATCCAAACTAATTAAAGAAGATATATATTTTACCTTAATTCCCCGAGGGCCAGGATAGCCAATAGACCCCTGAGGACCATTAGGACCCTAAATATGAACAAGAAAAATAAATGTCAACATATGAACACGCTGGGACTTATGAACATGTCTGCCCTGAAAATGTCTGTCTATATATCTAACAAAGATATGTATACATATATAATTGTTCTGTAGCTGATTACAAAAGTGCACAAATGCAGAAAGCATACAAATAGTTTTGACACAAATGTCATTTAATTTATGAAGTTCTACTTTGCATTATCATATGGCCTCACCTGATTTCCTTTGGTTCCAGTGGGGCCTTCCTTTCCGGGGTGACCCTGTTAAGACACGAACAGCATATTCTTTATTCTTTACCACAGGTAAATAACCACATACATATCTTCTGTAACCATTTTGTTTTGCCTTATTAAATAAACTGACAATTGGTCTAAAATGATTAATTCACATAAACTATAAGATGTTAAAACACCGAACCAACAGGCTTATTTTGAATGTGAAATAAACCCAACTAGCACTCACTGGAGGACCGTCACCTCCGGGCATTCCTGGTAAACCAGGCTTTCCTGTGGGCCCCTTTAAGAAGACATACAAAACGTCATTATAATTGCATACTTGAATACTCGATCTCAGAATAAGACTGGACATGTATGCAGACTTCAAAGTGGTAGTTCTCTAAAGCACTTTCATTGATTATTGATAATTATAGCTTTGTGTTCCACAATTATAAAAACACTCACTTTCTCTCCTAGTGGTCCAATAGCACCCTGTGGACCTGCCATTCCCTATGACACAGAAAACAATAATATTTAATATACTTCACTATGATTTTGTACATTTGTGATTCATTTGTAATAGACTCATTGTTCACCTGTGTTCCTGGAGCCCCCTGCTGTCCTGGAGGACCAGGCTCTCCCTGAGGCCCCTAAAAAAAGACAAGGAGATTTAGGACATATACTGTTTTTTCTTTCTTTTACATTTTCTGATTGCTGTTGTTATGAATATTTAACCTGTTACACACATATGCCAATTATTGCATATTTTTACACTGTTCAAGAGCATGCACAGAGTAGTCAGAGTGCATTAGGGTAATGTTAACAAGTCAATGAATGTCAAAGAATTTACTGACCAAGCTTCCTTTTGGACCATGTGGACCATCATTTCCACGAACACCCTGGCAGAGTCAGATAATATGGAGAAATTAAAGAAAGATCTGGACATCCCTATACAAATATTTCTTTTTCAAATCTTCCATTTCTATGGAAGTTGCTGTGCAGCCATTGCCATTTTAAAAATGTACATTTTATTATGCAGTATTTGTGGTTGAGCTTTCAATGAATACTCACAGGAGGTCCAGGAAGACCAGAAGGCCCTTTAGGCCCCAGCAACCCACGGGGCCCCTATAGAACAAGAAAGAGGTTCATCAAAGAACGTACAAAGAAGTCAAATAAGTAGCCTTACAGTTTTTAAATTGGACTACAAAAGCAATTTATACAGGTCAGTACTATCATATACACTGTCATATGTGTGAGAAAAGAAAACCCACCGGTTCGCCGGGAAGACCTCTAGGTCCAACGTCTCCATCGTCTCCCTGACAATTATCAAGGTGGAAGAGGACAATTAGAAAAAGTTCCCTTTTTTAGCTTTATAAAGACGATGATAGATAATCAAGGAAAAAACGATCAACAAAGATCACAAGGATGTTCAGGCAACGTAGATCATATTAACTATTGTTAATTTACTGTAACAGTACAAAATCCTTGAGAAGTACCCTTTCTCCGTCCTCTCCAGGGGGTCCTGTGGGTCCCATTCCTCCAGTTTGACCCTTAAAAAATAAAATAAATAAATAAATGAAACATTTTAATATTATTATGTAACTTATGTTAGCTGTGTTCCAAAATCCAGCGAAACCCCTGCTGTCTACTGTGCACACATTGGAAGCTGCATTCGATTTTGGCCAAAAAAGGTATCTGTAATTACACTGCCTTAAAAAAAGGTCACTATGTTTTGAAACAGGGCTTATGAAACATTAACAACAATGTTAAAAAGTGGGAGCACTTACACGATAACCCTTGTCACCAGGCAAACCAGGAAGGCCATCAAAGCCACGGTCGCCCTAATACAGAAAAACATACACATACACGACTTTACAAACCACAGACGCTGCTCAAAAGACTCAAGGTCAAAGTGATTTCTATGAAGACGTTTCAAAGCTGGAATAACACAAATGAATCACACACAGAAGACAATTTTAACCAAAAAGGGTTAAGATGTCCGACCTTAATTCCAGACTCTCCTGGCATCCCTCTGGCTCCATCAGCACCAGCCCGACCCTGCAGGAAATATCAAATATAAGCAACTAGATTATTCGATTTCTTAAGGGCAACGCAAGTGGTGCCACCAAGATGCTAGGATGCGGTTGCTAGGGTGTTCTGGGTTATTGCTAGGAAGTGTTTTTTTTTTACTGCTTTGAAGTTACTATGATATTCTGGCCCATAAATAAGGCCTGTGTCGAAGTAAACCTGCATGTTTTCTTTTTCATTAGTCATGAACACTGTAGTGGACTTACCCTCCGACCAGATTTACCAGGAGGACCAGACAATCCATGAGGACCTCTGGGGCCCTGCAAAAACACAATAGGGATGCATGATAAATAAAGAAGGCTGTCTCTTTATATCCAAGATATTTATATATTCTGAATGTCAGAGCATCTCAGAATGGCTCAGTGTCCTGCTAGTGTTTCTTAAGGCATGGCTAAAAATTATAATGTAAGAAATCACAAATCAAGGACTTTACCTGAGGACCATGGTCCCCACTTTCTCCCCTTAAGCCAGAACTTCCAGGTGTTCCCTATACAGGATCACAACATCAAAATGTAAGCACTTGACAAACAACATGTAATACTGTAACAGACTGTTTTATTTATTTATCTGTGATAAGTTCTTTTACCGTAGGTCCTGGACGGCCGGTTAAACCCATTGGCCCTGGTGGGCCTTTCATAGCCAGCTAGACAGAAGAAAATTAAGATGCATAAAGTTAGACCTCAATGTGGAAAAACTAATAAATAAATATTAAGTAGTTGCTAAATGACAGCTGCTACTAACCCGAGCCTGAGACAGGATGGCTTGAGCTTGGGCCTCCTGTGCCGAGGCAATGGGCCCTTTTTCGCCAGCACTCTGTCCGAAACGGAACTGCAAGAACCAGAAAAGAGTTTAGCAAATTAAGGATTTGAAATGATTTCTTTTAAGTAATGTGGATGTAGGAACTCGGAAGGAATAAAGTCACATATAACTTGTTTAACCATAACGGTATAATGGTGACATCTAGTGGTGAGATGACTTTAAGAAAGAAAGAAAGAAAGAAAGAAAGACTTACAGGAAGCATGACAGAAGTCCCAGGAGGTCCTGGGACCCCGTCCGCTCCAGGTAGACCAGCTTTACCAGAAAGACCCTACAGAAACAACCAACAGGATTAATTATACTGCTTTTAATTCAAATTAATTATAAACACTCTAAACCTAACACACTAAATATATATTCACAAGGACATATGCATATGAGCACCACATCATATATTTCAAACTAGCATACTCAAAAACCATTATCTAAAGCCAAGTCACCTTATTTTTATAGCATTTTATACAATAGAGATTGTTTCAAAGCAGTTTTTACAGAATTACACATGAAAGTAACAGAATGATGCAAACTTAAAAAATGCTAAATTCAGCTATAAAGCCGACAATGGTGTCATTACTCAGCTCTAGTCCATTCACTGTTAGTTCAGTTTAGTTCAATAACTGTGTAAAGTTCACCCATACCTAAATGTAATATATGTACATATATATATAAAATTTCCATATAAGAAATATATTGTCATATGAAGTAAAAACACATATGAAACCTATTAGAAATTGTCGTATATTAAATATATATTTAGCCTGCACAAACATGCATGTTTATGTACGTGCAATACATTTTTGGACATACATGTCATGTACATGTATATCTATCCCAAAATCCATCAATATTTGATATTATGTAAGTAAAAAAAAGACAGACATGTACTATTACAAACATGCACATTTTTGCATATATGTTGTTTTAATAGAGTTACATATAAAAATAAAATATATATTTCTGACATATTGTTGCTACATATAATATCATATACAAAATCATCTCTACTCAAGACAGCAATGTCATTATTCAGCTCAAGTCAATGTTTTCAACAATTTCAATAAGTGTCGATCTTGCAAAATTTAATCACGAGCAAATTCGAGTCAGCTATAAATCAGAAGACAAGAGCATCGTTATTCAGGCCAATTCAGTTTTGTTCTCATCCGATAGCATCAGTGCCATCAAATCAGAAATAAATTAATATTAAATGTCTTTTAGACTCCAACTAAGCAGCGGCAAGGAACCCAAACTCCATCATGTGACAGAAATAGAGAAAAAACAGCCTCATCTAAAGCATAAACACACAAAAAACTGTCCACTCACCCTCTCACCAGGATCACCAACAGAACCAGGGGGTCCCTGGGGGCCAGCGGAGCCAGGGAGACCCTATACAGAGAGAAAGTTTGCATAATTAAGAGTGTATAATCTACCCAAATCACAACTGTGAAACTTAAATTTCATCATAACATACACTATGTAGTGAAAAGCAAACTGGATAATTAGCAATGCTCAATATGGCAGTTGTATGCTTTTCAATTAGAAGAGTCAAAACGTTATTTGGTCATTAGCTTAATTTTGGGGAGGACGGAGAATGCTAACTAATCAAAAACAAATAAAATGAACATACTGCTGGTCCTTCTGGTCCAGGTGGTCCTTCAATCAACATGCCCTGTGAAAACAGTAAAATGAAGAAATTTAACACAGAAATAATTCATTCAGAAAACACTAATACATGAAATACATCACAATGCTATTTTGTCGACCTTCTGCTGGCCTGGATGAATTACATGTCTTAACAGATAAAGCAGTTGCCTTGATTATTTCCAGTTGTCATAATGGAGTAATGTTTTGATTATGGAAGTATGACTCTTACAGGTTCAAGGACAGCAGGGTCTCCCTTCTCTCCCTTCTGGGCTCGCATGGAGGCCTGAGGAAAACAGATATGTAACCCAAAACAGAGCCCAGTCAATATACAAACAGAAGAAAGCATCAGTCCAAGATGTTCAGGTACCCACCTACATTATACATCATAACCCCTTTTTGTGGTTTTGGACGTCCATCCATAAACCACTGAAACTAAAGATTTACCTTGACTGACAAATTATTTTTTAAAGAAGTTAAGTAGATACTTAGCTGACCAAACAGGCTTCAAATTTCACTTATCTGCTGTTGTGAGGCCATCCAACTAAATGTAAGTGAGCACTATACATTTGTATTCTTGTATATGCTGGTCTACAGAATGTTAATACATACTGTACAGCTCTGGAGCTGACATCAAGCAGAAACACTGTGGTACCCTTCCAAGAAGATACTGTTGTTCTATGCTGATCGAGATTAGAGCTGCTCTCAGATCAGCATAAGAGCAGAGGAGTCAACCAATACTGAACTAAGCACTCTATGCAGACTTGCAGAGGAATCTTGTGCAGGAGAAGTAGTGTTTAAGTCTTGCGATAAACAAGGTGTGCTGACATGGGAACCATTTCCTGTTGATGGCATAACTTTCTAAATCATTACTCTAAGCAAACTTGATTTAGTCTTGAGTAAACACTGAATGCAAATTAGTTGACTCTGAAGTTCTCTTCCAAAACCTAGTGAGCAGCCTTACTGCCAACTGCCTACTAATGTTGTTACTGTTAAATATATTAAATATATATATACAGTACATATTATTATTTTTTGTTATTTGATACAAAGTCCTGGACATGACATACAGGGAAATATAAAAAGATATCATGGCTGCAAATTAAGAATTCGTTCCCATGATCGATAATCAGTTTGTTCCCTTGTTTCAATTAAATCATGGCCACTTTGTACCCCCATTTTAATTTGGTTAAATCGTGGCCACAAGGGACTAAATTAATAAATCGTTAGAATGAATTCTTAATTTGTGTCTACAATTTCTATTTTTTTCACATGTCATGAGTAGGGCTCATAATTTGAAATACAAATATACATACTAGATGAAAATATTAAAAAAATAAATAAAAAGTAAAAGTAATCAGAAAATTAGAAATGTTTCCTTCAAGTGCTAAAATGACTGAAACTAAAAATAAATGCAATTATATAAATACAAGTCATAAAGAAAATTAATAATAAATTAAAATAAATTAAAGCTAAATAAAACTATAGAATAATATAATATAATAACTCAAACTTAAACTAATATTCAATTGAAAACTGAAAATAAAAAAATAAAAGCCTGTTCAAAATACTATAATACTATGACTCCAACAAGAGTTTGGCTTTAACCATGTTGCTAAGCAAACAATGTGATACTTTAATAATCATACCAATTCATAACTCATACAAACAGTCAGTAATTATTAGATTATTCATATATATATATATACTTAATAATTATAAATTAATTAAGAATGAACAAATGTATCAATATTGTCCAGTATTTCATTAAATATAAATCATTACCTCTTTTTTGCCATCTTAGATGAATTCTAGATTTGCCTTTAAAGTAAAGGGACACATGGGCTTGCTGTCTTCAAACAAGGTATTTGCATTGTCATCACATTCTACCTTTAATTTCTGTCTAGGCAATTAACTAGGTTTTGGAATAGAGCTCACGTCTTGGACCAGCATTTAGACCAACAGCAGCGCTTAGCTGGTCTTAACAACTACCTGCTTGATGCCTCTGCAAGATTTAAAGCCATTGCAAATTCAATTGAAGCTTTTATCAAAGCTTATCAAAGGAATTTACAAGAAAGCACAAGGTAACTTACACCTCCCTCATCTGTCACAGCGGACAGGGCAGGGCCAAAGGTGTCTTCCGTCTTGCTTTCGATGATGGGCTCATTGTAGTCCCTGTAGGAATAGTCATACTCCTTTGTTCCAAAGTCGCTTGTAATGTACTCCTCAATGAAGGGCTCGTCTGGCGTTTGAGACACCCCTTCACCACCTGTCTTGGTCGCATCTACTTCCTCAGCGCCAACAGTCTCGTCAACCTGGGCCGTACCATTGGGAGCAGAGGTAGGGGTGGAGTGGATGGTTTGGAGGATGGAAGATTATATGGTGTGATGGGGCAGAAATGAACAGAAAATAGGAAAATAGAGGGGAAAGTGGAAATTAGAAGGCAAAGAGAATAATCAGAATAATAGATCTTACCTGTTGTAAAACAGATATGAGAGAGGGGCAATCATCCACACACAGGCACAGGTTTACAGACACATACACACAGTATCACAGTCTTCTTCATGTCTAATTTTACCCAATAGTCTTATTTACCACTGTATTGTTCAGTCTGAAGGCCTGTTCACACCAAGAACAATAACTATAAAGATAACTGTAACATTAATCATATTAGCATCCACACCAACGGACGATAATGTTCTGTTTATTATAATCGCATGCAGCTACTTTAAATGCTCAAACTCTTTAAAGCAGGATGGAATCCTACTCTTTATCATTCATCATTTGAAAGAAAAAAGTTTTAAAAGTGATTCCAATGATGTCATTCCTATGTGTAGTTACTATTATATTTGTGTTGTAAACATAGAATAAAAACGATTATTAAAAATGCATAGTTACAGTTCTCATCCTTGATGTGAACGGTCCTTAAGAGAGCAGTTGTCCATTTCTTCTCCGTCATCAAGGCATTGACTAAGCATAATGTGTGACCATAATTATGAGCGTTGTGCCTCAAGATAAAACTGAAATCCTTTTTCAGGTGCATTTTCCAAATATTGTTAATAAATCAATTAATTAATTTCAAAATGAGACCACAGAATCACTCAGGTCTATGGCAACACACTTACTCCGAGGCAAAAACTAAAGCACTACATCCTATAGTCTCTTACCATTGTATTGTTGACTCTTTCATTTAAATTTTCTGGCCATGTCCATTTCCAAACTATTCCTAAACATCTTGTTTATTCTTAAATACAAACCTGACCAAAAAGTGCCACTCTAGACAAGAAATATGTTTTAGTTGGGTCTATCCATAACTAACTAAGCTGCTCAAAGTAAAGTTTAGCAGTTTCTTAAATCTTACATAATGGCAGTGTCTGCATCCCAAAAATATCTCAAAAGAAGCTGTCCAGCAATGAATGCATGGTATTCATTCCATAATTGTACCATTTCTCTTGTGATCTCTGTTTCTCAAGATTTCTGTTCTTATGTTAAGATGGTGTCATGTCCAGTTTTGACATAGGAACAAGAAGAAAATCTTGAGGCAATTTATAGAATCATAAAAGAATATCTGATCAAATGGATGCTATGCATTCATTTTTCAGTTAAGTACAGCACTTATGGCAAACGTGGCTGCAGGATGGTTAATTGTTAAGGTAAAATATACACAGGCTGGTCTCACCTCCATTGTAATGGTTTAGAGTAATTGAGAGCTCCATGTCTCTCAGATATCAATGGGTGTGGGTTACCTGGTTAATGGTTTCTTCATATCCAGTCAGATCACTCTCTCACTCTCTGCTCGCCTCTTCTTCTACTGTGTAATAATAATCGGTCTCTGTGGGGGTGTGGTCAGCCTCTGAGTAAGCAGGTAAGCAGGCCTGATTGGAGGAGGCCGAGAGGTGGGCGGGGTTGGGGGAGGAGGTAAGCAGATTTGAATGGGAGAGATTGATTAGTATGAAACAAGCTCAAGTCTGATGAACTTGTAGAAAGAAAAGATCAATGTGTTTTTGCCAACAGACACACAAAAACACCATTGATCTCATGTCATAGTAAAATCAGAACAGGAAACTTTTGCAGCTGGAATCAAAAATCTTGTAATAAGCCTTTACATTGTGAAAGACTTATAAGATTTGCTGTCCCAGATTTTCCTTTCAACCTGATTTGGTTTAATTAGTCACTTTGCCATGTCAAGGATAAAACATAGTCAAGTTGGGTCAAAACTTGACTTTAAGGTTGTTGATGTTGGTGTCAATACCCCTTTTGCTTTTTTCTCCACAGCTGCCTTCCCATTGCCATTGTTATTGGCTTTGCCATTGCTGCCAGCCTTAGCCTTACCATTAGCATCTTTCCCATTCCCATTGCTTTTGCCATTGCCATTGCCATTACCATTTACTTTAGCTTGACCGTTATTTTTTCCATTGTCGTTTGCCTTCTTTTTGTTTTCAATCTTTGGGGCCGGTGTTACTTTTGGTTTGGATGCTAGTTTAGAAGCTAAAGTAGGTTTTGTCTTTGAGATAGGTTTGGCCTTCGGCTTTGTAGTTGGCTTGGTTTTAGCTGGAGCAGCTTTGGCTGGGGCAATTTTTGACTTATCAGCTTTGCCATTGTTCGCCGTTCCCTCCTATTTGATTAATATTGTATTTATTTAAAAGCGTAAGTGTCAGGTCAGCGTTGATGAAAAGAGAGTGAATGAGAGAGAAATAGAGAGTGGAAGACATCAGGGATGGGTGGGATTGAAAGCAGTGGGGATGGACAGAAAAAGAGAGAGACAACACAATGAATTTAAGATCGCTGGCGCTTGAATGACTGACTGAGATTTCACTGGCATTACTGGATACAGTATGAAGCTATGTCAGATTTAGTTGTTTATATTCATTTCATAAGTTTAGACTTCATGAACTTCATTCATACCTAAAGAAACAAATCATTTGATACTGTTTTCTCCAATAATGCCAATCTCCACATTAAAAAAGCAGCATGTTGTGCACATGGGGATGTAACGCTGTGAGGCACTGGGGGAAAGTTTGCTTAAATAGCATCTGCTGATAAAACTGATGCATGGCTGGTACACTGTGCTGCCCAACTGCACAGAAAGAGAGGGATATTAAAGGAAAGGAAGGGAGATAGTCATAATGCACCATTCATAATCCCATTAAAATGACATTGCTAGCAAATCATTAAAGAAAACCGTTTAAGTAAATAACATAAAAATCAGAATACTGATTCAAATATTATACACCAATCAATGTGAAAGGAATGAATGGCGTAGACTACCCAGATTCAGATGATAAGCAAAAGCACAAACTGCAGAAAATAAAACAGGCATATTTATTGAAGACTAATCCTCAAGTTGACACATACTGAGCTAAATTAAACTAGTATAGGTTAACTATACAAAATAGCTTTTTAAAGAGCTCAGTGAGCACGCAAGATAAAGACATGACTGTTCACAGGGCAAGAAAAACAGCACTACAAATAAGTGAGAGTACAATCTTGGCCAAAGTGAAAGTAAACCTATAAAGTGAAGAGATGGATATGAATAAACACATAAACACAGACGCTCGTTGTACACGATAACAGATGAGAGTGACACAAGACACAAGCGAACTCATAAGTTTTGTTACTCACACAACAGGTGAAAAGTAAAAACATGCAAATACACAAGACTGAAACCAGGTTTAAGAAGAGTAATGCCATGCAACTGGGAAGAATGAAAAGTGGTTTTCTTTAAAAACCCTGTTTACCTGAACTATGATGTCAGCATCAAATCAATAAGTTACAATGGCCCTGCTTACATGCACATTAAAATTCTGAATGGTCAAAATGATTTTGGTTAAATTACTGAATTGCAGTAATTAACCAGAATATGGACTTTAGCCATAAAAAGTAAAAAAAAAAAAGAAAAAGTAAATTAAACCAGAATTAAAGAAGTTATTTTACATATAATATTTAAATATATTTTTTTTAAATGTAAACATAAACTTATAATTTTACTAAACAATTTAGATACAGCATACATATACAAAAAAATATAATTTATTCTGTATACAATATATACAGTACTTGGATCTATAGACACTACCTTCTCTGTTTAGTAAATCAGTATTTCTGTCTCTTTCTCTAGAGCTGTTGGTTTAACACAGTGGTGCAATGATCTGTGATATAGTGTGTGTGTGTGTGTGTGTGTGTGTGTGTGTGTTGAACCTCCAGTGCCCCTTAAAAATCCACATACACACAATCATGAACTGACCAACACAAACATTCTGACACTATACAGGTACAAATATATGACAAAAGACAACATGTAAATGACACAAGCAACATCAATATTATAGTGTGACAGGTGATGGGCGACGTGAAACGAGGTGATGAACGGAAAGAGGTGGGACATCACATGACAATGTGAGACAGGAGTGAACAGAAAAGAGAGGATGAACATATTCAATTGAAAGAGACCAGTGAGCTTCATAGTAAACTCTCTGCGTCCAATTGGTTTTTGTAAAATGTATACATTTAAAGAAAGTTTACATTTAAATTTGAATCCACAGCAATGTCATAGAAATATTTGCATACTGACTTCATATTGGTATTCTTTATTTCTTTTATTTGCATACTATATTGTGATTTTTCTATATTCTGATATCTATTTTTCTGCTATATATGCATTACCCAAAACCAAAGCCTACAGTCACAGTATACACTGCAAAATATATATATTTTTTCAATTTAATAAATATTTGATCTTGTTTTCTAGTAAACATCCGTAAATAATCCTTAAAGGAACACTATTTTTGAAAATAGGCTCATTTTCCAACTTCCCTAGAGTTAAACAGTTGAGCTTTACCGTTTTCGAATCCATTCAGCCGATCTCTGGTTCTGGCGGTAGCACTTTTAGCTGTAGCTTAGCATAGATCATTGAATCTGATTAGACCGTTAGCATCTCGCTCAAAAATGACTAAAGAGTTTCAATATTTTTCCTATTTAAAATTTGACTCTTCTATTGTTACATCGTGTACTAAGACCGACGGAAAATGAAAGTTGCGATTTTCTAGGCCGATATGGCTAGGAACTATACTTTCATTCTGGCGTAATAATCAAGGAACTTTGCTGCCGTACCATGGGTGCAGCAGGCGCAATGATATTACGCAGCGCCTGAAAATAGTCCCCAGCACGCTCCCTGTGCAAGCAGGTGGTCATGTTGGTTATGCTGACGGAAGTTAGCCTATTTTCAGGCGCTGCGGTCTTAGTACACGAGGTAACTACAGAAGAGTCAAGTTTTAAATAGGAAAAATATAGAAACTCTTTGGTGATTTTTGAGCGAGATGCTAACGGTCTAATCAGATTCAATGATCTATGCTAAGCTACAGCTAAAAGTGTTACCGCCAGACCCGGAGATCTGTCTAGGGGAGTTGAAAAATTAGCCTATTTTCAAAAATAGTGGAGTGTTCCTTTAAATAAATATGTTTACTTGAGAAGCAAAGGACTGTAAGACTTATTTTCTTTTATATTTTTTTACCCTGCTGTCTTCTTTTTAGCATAAACCTCATCAAATTTTGTTAGATCTGTTTTGTCAGAGGGATGTTTAGAAAACAAGACAAAAATGCAGATTAAAAAATTATTCAATTTGTTTAAAGCGTTAATATTATTCTTTTTGGCCTTGCAGGCACTTATCAGGTTACCCTAAATCAGGTATCATGCCGTCTCTTTCTCCTCCTCTCTTTTCTGGTTCACTTTGTGATTCCATTTGCGATCTCCCTCTTTACCTCTTTGGTGGGGTCCACGGCTGGGACGGAGGGAGGGACACTCGTAGTTCCTTCATAATAATAGGGGTATTCATAATCATCCCGCTCTTCATCAAAGTACTGAGAGACATGGGGGGGAGAGAGAGGAGCAGTGAAGCCAGAGGAATGCAGGGAAGGAGAGAGAGAGGACTTGTGAGTGACAGTAAGGGAATGGAGCAAATGACAAGAGGGAAAAAAGAAGACTTTGGAAAGAGAAAATGAATGAGAGGGTAATAGGGAGAGAGGAGAGAAAAGTGAAGGATGAGTAAAGTGAGATGTAGGAACTAGAAATAAGGGCAAGATGAAAGCATGATGGTTTTATCTTTTGTTCATCAGACTCATGGCTTTGAGTAACACTCAGATGTTACTGCATTACTGCAAAACACACTGAGAACTTCAATGAACAAGAAAACAGATGCATTCATCTGAAAAGCTGACACAAGGGTATATTGTAAGCAGTAAGCAAAATAAAGCTATTATATGCAGTTTCAGCATTTAGGTTCAATCGGACGTTATAAAATAGTTTTCACCCTAAATTCAGATTGTATGAGCTGTGCTTGAAGCCATTATAAAAGGTAAAAGCCATTGTATTAAATATAACTATTTATTGAACATTGGAGTAATTTATCATATTTCTGTCTCAGGATTATTGTATGTAAATAAAACTAAAATTTAAAGTAAAATTAAAACCTTAAAAAAAAAAACGTTTTCATTATTTGAAATAAAATAAACATTAACTGGAATAATATAAAATATAAAAAACATTAATAACATAACATAATTTTTTTTAGCTAGGCAACATTTTCATTTTAATTTAGCTAAACTTGATGTATTAAAACTAGTGCTGTCAAACGATTAATCGCGATTAATCGCATCCAAAATAAAGTTTTTGTTTACTCAATATACAGTATGTGTGTGTACTGTGTATATTTATTATGTATATATAAAGACACACACATACAGTATATATAAACAACAATCTTTAAAAAGGAAAAAAATAACTATCTCAAAATAATAATAAAAACTACATTTGTATCTTACTGATACTAAAATATATTATTAAGATATATAATACATTGTAATGCATTACAGTACCTTTTGTTTTTAACCATGGTGCCTATAAAGCTGTAATAAAGCTCCTCTAGGTTGCTATGTTTCCAATTTGATCTAAACTTTGCAGTGAGATTCCTCTTGTACTTTGTAAGAGATAAATCTCAAGAAAGCCACATGCACTGATGAGAAACTAAAGACAGAGCACCTTTGATGAGGTGGAAGAGCTGTGGATGTATGAAAATGTGTTGCAGGGGAGTGATGTGGGTATCTGACTCACATGAGGGGCATTATAGTGTAGGTAAAATATAATACTAATGTGCGTAGAATTCTAGATTTTTGTGGACGATTTTCATGAATATTCAGCTGGCATTCTGATGTGAGATGCATTTGTGAGTAACATTTACAATATCTGGCTTGGCCCATATTTATCCAAGCATTTAGCGCAAGTCCAATCCAAGTCAAATACAGATGCAGCGTTTGAATGGCATGATTAATGACTGAATCAAGGCAGATTCTACAGCAAATATTTGGATGAGTCGCTGTTTTTGCATAAGCAAAAGCTTTTAGCATACATTGATGCATTGAGAAGAGCTAAGAGCTGTTGCTACTAGTGAAACTCTTTTCATATCTCACATCAGGACACTTTGCCCCATTGTAAAAATGTGCTGTGGTACTCACGAAGCTGTTTGGGTCCTGGGACTGGACTTTGGGCAGAGGGGAGTCACAGTCGGGGCTGTAGTGCTCGCAGAAGTCATAAGCGGCCTGAGGATTGGATGCGATCAGCAGCTGCTGGATCTCACCCTGGAGAGAAGCAAAGCAAAAGAAGAGATGTCACTTTAACAACCAGATGTGAATAAAGTATCAAGGTTGTTACCAGGGGTCAAAGTCAGGTAATGTGGGATACTAAGGCATTTAGTATGTGCAAGATTTTATTTTATTAATTTTTTTAAATTAAATTGTATTTGAATAGCAATAAGTGAAGTGCAACAGAACTGTCTCACATGTGATTTTCTGATTATACCATATAGGAGGAATTTAAAGTCATGTGTGACATATTTTAGACTAAAGTAAAGTGATGTGACATGTGGCCAAGTATACTTTAGTATAATTTACCCATACTTGGAATTAGTGCTCTGCATTTAACCCATCCTAAGTGCGCACACAAAACAGTGAACACACACACACACACACACACCCGGAGCAGTGGGCAGCCATTTATGCTGCGGCGCCCGGGGAGCAGTTGGGGGTTCGGTGCCTTGCTCAAAGACACCTCAGTCGTGGTATTGAAGGTGGAAGAGAACACTGTACATTCACTCCCCCCACCTACAATCCCTGCTTACGAGTCCGACTCTCTAACCATTAGGCCACGACTTCCCCCTTAGTTTAGAATATTCAACAAGAAAATGTAAGACAGGACTTAATTTTATCTATCAGCAATTGACTGGATCATGTCAAGTGGGCATTCAACAAGAGTGTGCTGTAAAAATTATTTCATAATTTAGTTGTTTCGAAGAGGGCAACTTGCAGTTTATGATTTTTTATACAACTTAACATGTTACGTTTTCACAGTCTCAACTAGTTTGTAAGTTGACTTAACAAGAGCATTTGGCCTGTCAGTGTAAAAACATGTTGAACAATGTCACATTCTCAGTAACATTTGTGTTTCTCAGTAAGATTTCTGAAGTCTGAAAGAGCTTTTTGAAGACAAGAAAGACAGAAATCATTTGAAAATGTTCACCATCGTCAAATTTGGTAAATAAATACTTATTGGTTTACTTAAAAGTCCAGGAATGTGTATTAACAAAGTAAATAAGATCAGTTTTGATTTCATGATGACAATTCTTGTTATTTCACTTGCCTTTAACATGACCATAAATTGTAGTTCATTTCATGCAGACAATTAAAAAAAAACTCCAAACATGCTACAAAGTAACCCTTCTTAAAGGGATAGTTCACCCAAAAATGAAAATTCTGTCATCATTTACTCATCATGTTCTAAACCTATACGAATTTCTTTCTTCTGCTGAACACAAAAGAAGATATTTTGAAGAATCTGTGTAACCAAACAGTTGCCAGTCCCCATAGACATCCATAGTATGGAAAAAGTCATATGGGGAAGTCAATAGGGATCATAAACTGTTTGTTTACCCAGATTTTTCAAAATATCTTCAAATGTCCAACAGAAGAAAGAAATTCATGAGTAATTGATGACATATAATGATTTATTTATTGGCTGAACTCTCCCTTTAATTATCATCTATCAATCTCAAAGTGTCTTTCACAGAATTCCTTGATATCTCTTGCACAATGTATACCAGACCTGGAAGACCTCCTCATCCAGAAGACGGGCTCCAAAGACAGTGATGCCCTTGGTGTCCAAGACTGGGTTGTTGCTACGTGCCAGAGTTTTTGTAATACGATTCTTGCAGTCAAGGATCAGAGTGATGGTCTTCTTCTGCACAGAAATGGCAATGCGGTGCCACCTAAGGGACGAGAGGAGATATTGAAGGTTTAATGTGCGTGAACTGGGTAGATAGTCACAAAGAGTTCCTGTATATAGTTTGTGTGTTTGCAAAGAGCCATTAATATAGACTGTAAGGAACCTTTCAGCCCCTGCATACAAAATTTCTTAGTCTAAAAAGTGATGTTTACTATTCAAATAACAGTTACACATCACATTGCTGGGAAACTAACAGCATCAGGGTTGCATAACACAAGTAATTATAAGATATTTGAAACTGGATGGGCTGATGGGGCTCAGCAGGCATTGGTTACTGACTTGCCGTCAGCCAGGTTGACCGCTTTAAACAGTGGGTAGTCCTCTGGGGCGGGTTTGCGATTCTGGTCCTCATACAGGAAGATGGGCGAGCGTCCCAACTCTAGACCGAGCTGCTGGACACCCTGCTCATTATAGATGGACAGCAGGAAGGCCTGAAGACCAGCCTTGGCCTTTACCAGAGTCATGATGGAGAAGTTCTCCGGGAAACGTCCTATAAGAATTTAAAAAGAAAAAATAGAAATATGAAGATTTGAGACAAAAGAAGTAGGTTACTTCAAGCACAGACACATTTGTAGTCTGGGATAAACCTATGATTCATGACTCAACTTGCAGAAATTGCACACAATTCATTGACGCTAACATTCAGATTTAGTTTTAACTATGCAACCATCTCATTAGCTACTGAAAAGCTCTCATCCTGCTTTTGAGGAGTAATTGCATGTTAGGAACCAAACTGATTTTCACCCAGACCTAGTAATCTTTCTAAGCATAACCGCATCCAAAAAACAAACAAACTTGAAACCAGTATGACAATGAATCTCATACTGAAATTTTTTTTATAAATTATGAATTACAACCGAAATACCCATATATATATATATATATATATACTATGTATGTGTGTGTGTGTGTGTGTGTGTGTGTGTGTGTATATAATGCATATAATGCACTTTCTCTATAACCAAAATGTAAAATTCCTAATTATATATACAAACATCTTCAAAAGTACGCTGCCTTCAATTTTTACATGACTCGGCACTTTTCCTTTCAAGCCTTTCAATTATGAACCTATCTTTTGCACAAATCATACCCTTGTCCTTTTGAATTCCTTCATATTCCAGACACATACTGACATTCCATAAGTGGCTTTCAGATACATATAACTAAGATCCTACAGCTGTTTTTATAGATAAAACATTAAGTTATGCGGTTGTGTGTCTATGAACACAACAGAATGTCTTCAGATCTGGTTTATGTGAATAAGGGTTATTTAAACGCTTGTATATTAAAAGAACTTACCTGAGAATAGTTGTTTGGTGGGGGCAGAGATCTGGGCTTTCTTAGTGATGCGGTAGGCATGATCAGGAGTGCCGGACCGGCGAGAGGTGCAGAAACCCGGGACCTTCTGCACACCTTCAGGGAGGGAAGGCAACTGCAGCACCCGCAAAACATCTATTGGATCTGTAGAAATAGAAGAGTTCGGTCACTGTTAGAATAAAAAAGTGCATTAAGACACTTTTTAACATCATTCATTAAATGTATAAAATACGATTATGCATTCATATGAACAGTTTCTGTTCATTTAGATCCAGAGAGAGCTCATAGCACATATTTCTGTTAGTATGAGCTTTGCAAAATGAAATAACATGATTTTCAGACATGATAAATGCACTTGTTTCTGTGAACACCGTTTTACAAAAAGTGAGTTCAAACAGATGTTGAATCATTCAACAGACCCCACACAGACAGGTTTTGAAATTTTATGTCTATTTCCATCTTCCTATTGCTCTTGGCAGCTTTGTTGCTCTTTATGGGATTCATGTGAATCCTGCGCAAACCCACAATGTGTACTACATTATTAACTGTCTAAAACTATGATAAACTCTCTAACAAGTCTTAATGTATTCGCAATACGCATTTGAGGTTAAGCATGTTTGGCTCTGTCTCCATACACTCTTTCTAGGGCTTGACAAATCCTTTCATTTTAGAGCTGGCACTTTCCTCTGAGTCCCTGCCAGTATTTTTGGTCTCTATAACCACATTGACCAAAATATGGTCTGTGTAGTTACCACAATGGGTAGTTAAGTCATTTTGTATTTAGCAAGTAGCATATTCATATTACAGACCAAAAATAAGGAATTCTACTTATGTAAACTAATTAGAATGTGAGTACACAGTTAGACATACAAAAAATATAGAGACAGATGTTCGTAAGAGGATAATAGACTAGAGGAGTAACTAGTGTACAATATTCAACACAATACTGTAAGGAAACAGGCTGAAGGAGGTTCAAGAGTGCAGGGATATCCTAAAATGGGGCGTCTAGCACCTTCCTTGATTCTCAAAAGGTGAACCTATTCAAACACTCTGGGAGAAAGAGATGAACAAGAAAAAGACTCTGGTCACTGTATCGGTTTCCAGAAGAGACAACCTGCACAATGTATGGCACTGTTTGAGACCTTAACCACAGCACTATATGTGACCCTGGACCACAAAACCAGTCATAAGGGTCAATTTTTCAAAATTGAGATTTATACATCATGTGAAAGCTGAATAAATAAGCTTTCCATTGAATGTATGGTTTGTTAGGATAGGACAATATTTGGCCGAGATACAACTATTTGAAAATCTGGAATCTGAGGGTGCAAAAAAATCTAAATACTGAGAAAATCGCTGTTGAAAAAAAAGATGTCCAAATGAAGTTCTTAGCAATGCATATTACTAATCAAAAATTAAGTTTTAATATATTTACAGTAGGAAATTTACAAAATATCTTCATGAAACATGATCTTTACTTAATATCCTAATGATTTTTGGCATAAAATAAAAATCTATAATTTTGACCCATACAATGTATTTTTGGCTATTGCTACAAATATATCCCAGCGACTTAAGACTGGTTTTGTGCTCCAGGGTCACATATATGTTCGCTGGGCCTTCTCAGCTAAATTGGATAAAATAAGGAGGGAGAGGCCCAAAAAGCATGTCTCAAATAGAGCAAAATTGGGAATAAGGGCAAAGCAGTGCACAAATAAAATAAGACACTGTAGACAAAAGAGAATAAAAAAAATTGAGAATGAAAACACTATTATCATTTAATTGGATCAAAAAACTATTTTGATCATTTAATTTTGAAATATTGATTTAAAATCTAAATTTATTATATCCATTTTAACAGAATGAGCATTTATCTAAAAATTACTCCAAATAAAAAAGCACTTTCTATCAATAAAGCTGTCAGTGAACACTAGCTGAAATTATCATCTCAAAATAGCTCAATTTTAGCTGATAAATCATCCTAAATTGGTCCATCACTTCTGCTGAGCCATGTATTTATTACTGCTTCTACTTCATCTACCAAACACCAACATTCAACAGAGCTTAGTAAATGTTTTGTAAATGGGAAACATGTCCCTGAATGTCTGAAACCTAGAGTCACTGGATGCTCTCACAATGCATTCACACAAACAAACACTGTATGCTCACACAGTCCGCAAACACAGGAACACACAATGGCTCTCAAAGAACAAGACCAAGAACCAACATTCCCAACAGTAAGTCATTAGCAGTCAAGGTGACCCCAACATTTCTAAACAAACTTCCATCACCAGAACTCTGTCACAGAACATTCCAGAAGATTGGTTACTCCATCTTCTCTTTCTTTGAGCTTTGGGTGTTCTAGTGTCTTCTTGTGAGCTTCAAATAACTGCTAAATACCAGCACTGTCCCATACCACCTGACACCTTGACCTTTTCAACTCTCACCTTTACTTCTCACAAAGATGCCCTTGTTTGGAGCAAGACGGACAGATTTGAGGATGAAGAAGTAGATGGAGAAGAGGTTCAACATTTCTGAACAAATGAGAAGGAAACACCTGCAAATGCATCAAACAAATGTGACAACAAACAGATACAGCTTCAAAAGATGCAAAAGACATGAAGATAAATCCATCAAGCTGTCTGGATCTGTCTACCCTGTCTCGTTCTCTCTTCCCGCCGACCGCAGTATAGTTAGGCGTGCATGTACAGGCCTGTCTAGAGGTTATAATTTAAATCATGGCTCTCTATATTTATGATTTATTTATAATATGCAGACAGCTATGCCATCATACCAACTCCTGGCATAATATGGGGTTACAGAGACATATATATCAAACGAGTATTTAATGTTCACAGATAGCCAAGTGTGTTAGTGTGGTTGATGGTTTTTTTTTTTATCTTGATGAAAGGTTTCAAAAATAAAAAAGCCAAAGGCTGACACAAGCACATTAGCCTGACTAGTGATGCTTTCCAGGAAGTGAATAAAGGTTCTTATCAACAAATGTAGAACTTTTATGACACAAACATGGGATTTTTAAGACGATTAGTGAACAAACAAACAGTAATCTACCTCCAAACAATAGGCCAGTTCATTTGCGCTGTCTAAATAATGTGTCCATTTAGTTCAAGTGCAGAAAGCTATTGAATAGCCATATTTTCAAATGATTATTTGCTGTCATTTGCTTAATATTATTCTCATGCCAAAGAGATGAAGGGCCTCTTGAAAGTCATTGCTTTAGAACATGTATTGCCTTAAACAAAGGTTGCAAATTTATTATTATACTTTATAATACTATACTAATACTATATGTACAAATATATATATATGCTGTGCCAGCGTGTTCTGGATCTAGGTGGCTCAGTATGAGTCAGTGAGTGGTGTACAGTGTGCCTCTGCTTGCCACTGCCAGGATGAATAGACTAACCACACGTCCGCTATATTAAACATCATGTAAACAAAAAAAGATTGAGCGTTTATACAGACTCCCCACAGCTACTGTATACACCCGTCACTGTAAACCAAAGTATACACTACTCACAGAAAAATTCATATACTTTACTATTACTCAAACTAAATGCCTATTAATAGCAATCCAAGATAATATGGTTAGCAAAACATTCTGAATCAGTCTTAAATTTGGTTACTGACAAATAGCTTGGTCAGCTTCATAATCAGTTGTGATCTTTAGCACAGAAGTGTGAAAACAGACAACTTTCATCAGCTTACATCTGTAAAGATGCAACCGTACAATCATAAGGCATGCACAGAAGTTTCAATTCCCTGAGACATGTTAATAAAAAAATAAGCCAGACTAAAGGAAGAGGGTGCTTATTATGTGCTCAGTGAATCCTTCAGATGTGGTGCTATTGAACTGAAAAGCGTGAGCATGTGTTGGGCCCTCTTGTGGTGAGATGTCTGCATTCCCAAAAAAACTATTTTAAACTATCCTTGAAATACAGAAATTTTGTGAGATATCAAACCTGCTGCAGCAATCCCGGTAAAGACATTTTCATTGCATGTTTCCATTTTTAAGATTTTTTCCCCAGAATAATCAGCCGCATAATGCAATGAAAGTTGATACATGTTTGGAAGAGCGATACAGTGATCTATTAAAGGTATTAATGGCTCAAACATTACACTCTTAAAAATAAGGGTTATATATTAGCATCAGTGGTTCTATGAAGAGACATTAATATTAATGTTCCATTCCACAAAAGGTTCTTTAAAGTGGAAAAGGTTTTTTATATTATTAAAATGTTCTTTAAGAAAAAAGAAATGGAATTTTTCACTGAAAGGTTCTTTGGGAAACTAAAATGGATCTTCTATGGCACTGGTGTGCAAACTTCCTTCTGGAACCTTTATTTTTAACAGTGTAAAGGCCCGTTCACCATTTGTGGAAGTGTGAGGCTTCTGGAGGCCTGTTGCGGTCAGAGTGTTAAAAGGTTCCTACAGCTGGAGTTGAATCACTAGGGTTAGTTTCGTTTGTTAGTTATGGGAGAAGAAGAATAAAGAAATGGTTGCTCAGAGCGAAAAGCATAAGGCTGATCACTTAGAAAACTATAGCACAGCTCACTACAACAATTGACTTGAGGTATCATCCATGTACTAATGACAGTTACAAGTTTAATACCAAGTATGCACAATTATAATAGTGATGCTATTCTCTTTCCATGCATGCACATCTAATAAGGGATCTGAGGAGCACCCATTAAACTCTTCAGCACTCATATTTCCAATGCACTTCAGGACAAGAGTGATGGGGAAGATTAGCAATGTAAGTAACACACAATGACATTCATGAAACTGTCAAGAATGACGGACACACCCATGAGGACAGTCTTTTCTCACGTGCAACGAACATACACACAAATATTCCAGGCATTTCCTTCACACACAGTGGCTCCATTCAGTCCTCATTCGCTGCATTGGGTCGAGGGTGTTTTGGTTAACAGAAGGGAGACAGTCTGTTCTTTGAGACTGCTGCCTTTGAAATGAGGTTGAAGGAACATCCATGTTAAATAAATATTCCCCACCTAAAAAACACTGTCTGTCTGCTGTCCCAAAGTTAACAATATGGAACAACGATGACCGCTTAAAGGTAACTAGCAGATATAAATGCAATCCTAAATAGTGGCTTGGTTTGCATAACTTTTTGGAGTTCAGTTTTGAACAACATAATCTGGTTTCTGGTATTAAAAAGCATAGATGTTTTTGAACCAGCAACAGCAGGCTGCTGTGGAATATTCACAGTGCAACATTCACTGGCCCAAAACTGGCATACTGTGGAAAATTCTCCAGGTGTAATAGACGTGTGCGTTTACACAAATATCACTGAGCTCACACACGGAGACACTAACTCATTCACTGCATCTCTGTGAACCACAGGGCAGAATAATAACCTACTCATGCGAGGCACAAATATTCAGACTTCCTCCAAACACACAAGGGAGGGAAAGGAGAGAAAAATGAGCGATCAAATCAGAAATCTGGAATTACATCCATGAGGGACGTTAGGTGCGCGCCATCATCTAAAAGATCGTTTTGTTGCTCACTTTTTCATTCAACTAGAAGCTTTAAATATCAATTAAATCTGGTGTGAAAATGTACTGTATCTGATTATGTGCTTCTACTGTAAATGAGATGTCTATGGAGAAGCAGCAGAATCTGGATCGAGCGCCACTCACCGACTAGTGGTGAACGCTAGAAGTGCAGCTGACGATTTACGTATAATTTTACCATATAAAAAAAATTAATGTGCAGAAATTAATATGTCTAGTCGGGTGGGGTAAATGAAATAAACAGCTAATTATATATGGTGCTTCTTATATTAAATATGGATTCGTTTTATGAATAAAACTAAAACCTACTGCAACTAAAAGCGCATTGGAAAAAAAGTTCATAACGTTTACGAAGACGAAAAGTACTCGTATTTATAAAAATTACAGTACAGAGCAGGTGAATAATGCAAATAATAATAGGCTAATAATAATAATGGCCAGTCTGCCAAAAACAAACTAGTTTTGGGACACTCTGAAGTGAGTTATTTTGGCTATAGCTTGACAAATAAAAACAGCATTAGATATTGTTTTTAGAAATGAATTTTTAAGAAAAGCGACGAGACAGAATATACCAAATTAGTGTTGCTAGGGGCAACGGTTATTATTAAAAAAATATTTTATCGCTAAATGCCGAGACTGACCAATCAGAATCAAGCATTCCAGAGCGCCATGTAATTAATACAAGTAATAATAAAAAACAATAAATGAAAAATAAAAATGTAGCCTAAATAAAAAATTAACTAGGCTATATATTTTTAATTTACGATACGATTAATGTTCGTTGTTTGCAATAACAACAACTATAATCTCACGATGCTGTGCGCTGAAATGAAGCTCGGGGTGTGAAACCCTGTCAGTGAAAGCACCGTCCTATCCTATGCCACCGTCTGGGATGCCACATAATGTGTGCCAACGCGGCCTGGAGCTCAGCTCATCGGCATGCATTTGTTTTGTGCATATTTCAATTCTTGAAAAATTCGTGAAAATTGGTGTCAACTTAAGGGACTCGAACCAAATTTTAGTCACCAAGTGACAGCTAGATCCAACATGATGTATCATAATCAATGCACTTAAATCACTTTAGCTGAAGACACGTTCGCAAGAAGATTCAAGCATCTTCTCGGAAACACTAAACATCTGCGTAATCTCGTGGATACCCGGCGTGCGTAAAGCGCATCAAAACCCACTGTTGCATTGAGGCAAAATGCCTCAATACATAAACCACGTTACAGTTTGTTCTGTCAAATCACACAAACACAAACAGAAAAGGCAAAACGCTCACCTGCTTGTGCCAGAGTAAGGCACAGGAGGAGCAAGAACGAGGTCTCCATGCACCACGGCCTCCGCTTCTTCCGAATATCCATAGTTCCCAAGTGTTTTGACCGGTTTGGTTGGACTACAAGGCAGGACAGTTTCAAATTAGCCTTTTCGTTCTTTCGACATCAACTTCGACTTGGCCTCTAACACACTTGGTGCGTCTTGAGAGAACGCACACCAACTTTCTTCTTCAATAAGTTATCTGTGTTATGTACAAAACGTAAATAGAAAGAAGGGAACGGGTAATAAATATGTAGTTTTACAGCTTGAAACCCCTAATGCTAGAGCCCCATTGGGTCTGAGTGAACAGAAAAGCGGAGAGAGCAGAGAGAGGCTTCAAATCACTCTCTCTCAATCTCTCTCTTTCTTTCTCTCTCCCTCTTCTTACTTTCTCCCACGAAATGCGTGCGTGCGTGCGTGCGTGCGTGTGTGTGTGTGTGTGTGTGGTGGAGAGCAAAAAAGAGGGAGGGAAATGCATGCATACGGATTCTGCGGCTTTCTACACGTTCGTAACGTATCGACAGACGTTCATTTCAAGAACTTATGAAAGGATCTATATGGCCCAAAATATCTGTATTCATCAAATGAGCTTTTGATGTTTACGTGCCGGTGACTGGCATGTAGATCAATCAGTTTATTCCTCTCTATTTATTTCTGCTTCACAGCTGAACCTTGCAGGACCGATGGGTCCGTAGGCACGAAGGACTTCATCCGCCAATCAGATCCTGATCCGCTCGTGACGTCACATGCCCTCGGTCTCTCGACGGCTCTGGCTCTCGGTCCAGCTCGGTTCCTCAAATTAAATGCCCACGCCAGCAGGTATGGAACAAAATGAACGTTTAGCCCTGTCAGCAAAACTTCACTTCTGTTAGTCATACACACCATTATTGAAGAAATGTTTATTGTATGTTAATTATTAATGGCTTTTTCAGGCCGTCTACTTTTTCTGTCAGTTGTTCATGGCTGAGGCTTGTCTCGCGCAACGTCTTTTGGCGCCTTTAGCACGTTTAGCTAGTATTCAACTATCCTAAAGACACTGGAACAAAACTCAAGCGTTTTTGTGATGTGTGAATGATATGTAAATATATAATAACGTGATAAAACGCTATATATAGATTACTTTGTTGACATACCGTCCCATGCTGATATAACGGCGGAGCGGCTTGTTGCTATAGTAACCGCCTCGCAAACCGTGATTTATTTATTTATGTATTATTATATATTTAGTCATTTAGCAGACACTTTTATCCAAAGCGACTTACAAATGAGGACAATCTTTAAAGTAAGGGATAAAAAAAGAAATCCAGTCATTTATTTAGGTTACGCCTATTCTCTGTCCACAGATCTTTATAAGCACCTGTGCTTTTGAAGAACCAACCCTATACAATGAGTCTCGGCTTACACACATTTAAAAATAAAGAAATAAATAAAGTTCCTCAAATGCATAAAACAAACATTTATGAAAGAGTATAGTAATAAAATGCCATACTGTCAGCAGCCACCAATCAACATGAGCTGCTCTATTAAAACTCCTACCAACTCTATTAGGAGCTGACGAGAGCTTTTCCCTGTAGGGAAATTCTAATATGCAGGAAAAAAATGTATCAAATCAGTGCTTCTTGTGTCCTGTGGCCCATTATTGTCTAAAGGAGACAATCCATAAACAATCATGGCATGTGTTTTTGTAAGACCTCTGGCTGGTGCACATAGCATTTCTATAATAAAACAGTATAATCATACGCTTTAAATCTGTGGTGTTCCCATTGACACAGAGAGGCCAGAGGAGAATGTGAGAAAGAATAAAGGTATTTTTAAAAATGCGAGAAAAGATTATGGAAAATGAGGGATGTGGGTGGAAAGTGGGAATCAGGTGTACTGTACTATATTTCTGCTGAAGATAAAATGTATGGATTATTTAAATTGCTCTTGCTCACATTTGTCCAAAGTACAACAACTAAATAAATAAATTTATATAAAATAAAAAAAACATAAATATAAAATACACATCTAAAATAAATAAATATTTCATTAATAATTAAAAAATTTAATGAATAAGAAGATAAGCATGCAGCCTTGTGGCAAGTTTTGAATAGCAAATCAGAGCACTTCTGGATGTGTGGGAATGCAGATTGAAGTCTTCTAAATTGTTTTTTTCTCTCTTTAAATTAGCACTGATGCTTAACCTAACTGCTATGCCGAGTAGTATAAAAATATCAGTGTTGCTCATAATTACAGTTTAATCATGAACAGCATTTGGGAAAAAAGGGAAAATCTCTAAACTGACATTAAACAATTAAATACATTAAAACGCCTACAGCTTGGTCTGTCTGAAACCGCACGTGAACACAGACATTAAGAATGTATAAAACCAAGCAGAGGATGGCATACAGGTGAGCACAGACCTTGAGAAAGTATAAAAATACAGCTGGGTTGAAATGGCCTGAGACCAGTTTACATCCAGAGAAACACTGAAGCGCAACTTCAACTCAAACACTGCAAAGTACCTTGAGAACATCCACATAAATAGACGACTGACATAATGTCTTGGCATTTGTACAAACCATGCAACCGATAAAACTTAGAAAGCAAAAAGGTAAAAAGCCACTCAGACTCTGACAGAGAAATCCTCAAGACAGATGTTTCCCACCTTGAGTGAATACAGCTATTCGGATTAATACAGCCTACTACTTTGTCCACAGTAGGTTCAGGCTTTGACGATAGGCCGCTAGCCATGCGGTTGTGTAGGTTTTGGTTGGCCACCCATGCTAACAGATTTTATGACAACATCTGAAATTCGCTGTGCATGTGAGAAAATGAATTATCTTCCGATAGGGCTACGTGCTGGGCATAAAGCAGTTCAACGGGAGGCACACGAAAGCTAACTCAAGTTTTCCTTGGAGTCAGACACGGCAAGTGCTTGCGGATAGCCTGGTTATTTCCAAAATGGGGACCTTGTAATTACAATAAAGCGTCCAGATTATATTGCAGACTTCCTTAAAAAAGTCTGTATTTTACTGGGCAGGGCTGCAAACCACGCACACACACCCTAGCCCACTGCAACACACCAAAATAGATTGGAGAAGGGGGGAGGGGGGGGGGGTAGGAAATAGATTGGCATGTGTATATTTGTGTGTGCGTGTTTGTGAGGAAATGGACTGGGTTGATACAGAGTTACAGTGCGAGCACTGAAAAAAAAAAAACCTATGTATGTATCTCTGTATTATGCTACACAGAGCTCCCAGTAAGTAGAGACCCAGATGTAAGAGTGCAAAATAAAAGAGTCAAAGAGAATGGCTCATTGATTTTGGATGCCGGACTCATATACGCCCAGATGAGAAGCAAGCTTAATGCCAGCTTGTATATAAGAGCCATATTAAACCGTCAGTTACGCTAGTAAGAGTTTACAGCAATGAATAAATGTTTGTTTGTTTGCTGCGCAGATCATTATAGCAGGTGTGAGCGTGTGAACACTGACATAAGCTCTCGGTTTGACTCATTTTTTCACATTTTCTAAATGTGGCCGCTGAGTGCGCTTCAGATCATTTAGCACAATTATGCATCATTAAGCAAATTTACTTCAGCTTCTTCAGTTGCCTCAGTAATGGTGACTATTTAACGGATACTTATAGAAGTGTGCAGGGAATGGAACATACATTGAGAGCATTTCAGAACAGATATGCTACACTGTAAAAAAATTCCGTAAAATTTACGGTAAAAAAACGGTAGCTGTTGTTGACGGAATTTTACCATAAAAAATATGGTAGCAACATTTTAGGTTTTATGGTTTTAACTTAAATTTACAGTTAAATACCGTAATTTCATTAACTGATATATTGTTAATATACCAACCTATTGAAGTACTGAAATCTGTTTTGTACCTTTGTACTGATGCTTTGTGGTGATGAGAAAATCACATGATGAACCAAAGCCCATCAAATGCAGCTTTTAAATAATAACATATATAGGTGTACAGTTTCACCAAGAAAGCAATGAGATTAAATGGAGTTCAAAATGAGAGTTTACCTAACTTCGCTCACCTCAGGGTTTCTTCTTGAGAAAAAGACCCACGTCTCGTGTGGAGTTTGAGAAGAGATCTTAATCTGTACTCAGATGTGCCAAATTAGTCTGCAACCAAAAGTCCCAAAAATGTTCCCAAGGTTCAATTAATTGCATTAAAGTCTTACTCTGTCAAAAATCATAGCATTTTCCCCTTTATTTTTATTTCTCTGAAGAAATGCATACATTTCTAATTGTGTGTGTGTATGTGTGTGTATATATATATATAAGTATTTATCATAGCTTAATGACCAATGTCACAGAACTACTTACATTTATTCAAAACAGATGAAAAAAGTGTGGGAGGAAGACAGAGAAGAGAAATACTGAAAATGACTATGGAAAGAGATGATGTGAGAAGAGAGAGAAGAGGTACTGAGCTATTTAAGAAGTCACGGAAAACTTCACGGAGGGAAAAAAATCACTGGAATGAATTGGGAAGGTAAGGGGGGTCCAATGGCATGCAGCAGGAGAGAGGGAATGAATGAGGCCTATTGATGGAGAGAGAGAGAGAGGGATCAAACAGTATTTACCGAGAGAGAGAGAGAGAGAGAGCGATAGTGAGAGGTGGTATAGGAGGGAGTTCTGAGCAGAAGGGAGGAGGTCGGTTCATATGACCCACTGACTGAATTGGAAATGTGGGGACATACTGATGAGTCAAAGGAGGAGACGGTGATGGAGAGGACAGAGAGAGAGAGAGAGGATGTCATGAAAATTTCCTGGATGCAATACCAAACTGCATTACAAAATATCATTTGAAACATGGCAGTAAAAGAGAAATATCCACCGTTTTGTATAACGTAATAAATAAATAAATATTTGATATTAAATGAATTTTAAAGGGATAGTTCACTCAAAAATGAAAATTTGCTAAAAATGTGTTTCCCCCCCTTAGGTCATCCAAGATATAGATGAGTTTGTTTCTTAACCAGATGTGGACAAAATGTAGCATTACATCGCTTGCTCACGATCGAGTCACCAGTGGATCCTCTGCAGTGAATGGGTGCCGTCAGAATGAGAGTCCAAACAGCTGATAAAAACATTACAATAATCCACAAGTTATCCACACCACTCCAGTCCATCAATTAGATTAGATTTAGATTTAGATAGACTTTATTGTCCCGAAGGAAAATTGTCTTGCACACATACAATCCAGTGACTGCTGCTTAAATAAGTAACAAAATACAATACATACACACATACGCACACACACAATACCTACAATACATACACAAACTGCCATCAACCAACCAGTT